AGCTGAAACACAAGCCTTGTCATTTCTTTGGCAAACGTTTTTGTTTTATGTCCAGTCTACCTAAAAACCATTAAGTTAACTTAAGCATTTTGTGTTGGGTCAACATGAGTGAATTGTGCTGGTCCAACTACCTGGTTAGAAGAATAATAGTTTCCAGCATGCTTTGCGTGGGATTCCATTAAAAGAGGGAAATGTTGACAATAAAAGTAATCTTAGGTGTTTAAAGTTAATAGAAAGCCTTGTTAGAGATTAATCTCCACTTTAGTTTAAAGATTTAAAAGAGTTTCATGTTATGCTTTGAGTTTTGAGATTACCAGCTTGCGGATGCACCCATGCTTTGGGTGTTGGGAGCTTAATTAGCAAAAATGCAGTTTGTTGCTTTGCTCAGTAAGCAATAACTGTCCTAAAATGAGCTCTGAGGTCAGTCTCAATCAACTGTATATGTGACTCATGAAATATGCTTAAAAAGGGCTCTTTTAGTTAATTTAGAACAACTTCAAATAAAAGTAAGGGTTTTATTTTAATAATCTAGGCGCAAAGTCTAAAGTGCAGGGCGCAAAAAGCATTAAGGGTGTGTCCGAATCCACTTTTGCTATTTTAAGGATGGAACAATATGCTCTGGTCTAACAGGGTTGTACTAATTCTCTTAATGAGTGATGGGAGTGTTTTGAGAATAAACCAATCAGAGTCTTCTCTCATATTCCCTTTAAGAGTCAGTTGAACTCTTAAAGCCAGAGCGCATTTGCTATTTACACAGTACACTTTGTGGAATAACTGAGCGCTTCAACTAATGAGAAAACAGTTAAACAGACCATCTGCTGTGCAAGAATAAAGAATGATCCTCCCACTATTCGGCCTCTTTAATTTCACTTTCTCTCTTTCGTGGATAAGAAAATGGTGTTGTATGCACAAACATCCATTAGCATACATAATCAATTTTGTTTTGTTAAGAGCAAAGATTTGTTTCGAAACTATTTCTAATTTCCAGAAAATGAATAAATGAACAGTAATAACGAAGTTAAAGAACAATATCCAAATACACATGCTATGCCCCATATGGTCCAAAACCTGACAGTTGGACAAATCTAAACTTGTTTTTAATATAACAAATTTAAATATGCATATAATAAATAATAATGCTAATAATAATAATATTATACAATAGTAAGTTGTCATCAATAAATAGAGAAAAGAACCCCGAGATGAAGAAGGCATGGAGGTACTGTTTTTTATTTATAATTATGTAGAAAAGAATAATTTTTGTAATATTTTATTTCTTTAATTATTTTTCATTTGTAAAGTTATTTATGTATTGCTGTACATCCTGTGTGTTTTAAGCAATTTGTAGGCGGGCGCATAACTAATGCACTGGACTTTAGAGCAGTTTTCAGCTGGTCTATTGCACAATCTATTTTAGTTCCTCAAAATAGCAACGCGCCAACAATGCGCCTTAACACACCACTTTTCTTGACCGGAACACTCATGAGTCCGCAAAGTGCAGCAAATAGATTTGTTATTTAAACAACGTGACAGAAATTGGGAAAATTAAGGTTGTGTTGATCTGAAAATAACAACACATCGGGGCAAACACGTCTTGTGCCTTATTGCACCAGGTGTATGATAAGGCCCTAAGAAACTTTGAAATGTACAACACATGTAATAGACAAACATGATATTATCAGACCATTGAGTTTAAGTTAAATAAAAATATGAATGTATTTAAACCTTTATTTGGTAAAATAATGTTGGACCAACTCAATTGCATTTAAAATTATATATATTTACAAAATTAAGTTGGAGCTAAACAAATTTATTGGGTGTAAATCCTGCCGTCAATTAAATTCATTCATTCATTCATTCATTCATTTTCTTTTCGGCTTAGTCCTTTTTATTAATCTGGAGTCGCCACAGTAGAATCAACTAATCCAGCATATGTTTTCTGCAGCGGATGACCTTACAGCTGCAACCCATCACTGGAAAACATCCATAAAACACTCATTCACACACATACACTACGAACAATTTTTTGAGTGTGGAAACATGAAAAAAAATGTGTGAACATCCAGATGCATTTAAATCTGTTCAGTATCATCAGGAATCCTAAAGCTGTTTGAGCGATTGTATTATTTATCCATCTCGAATGCATTTTGGAGGACATTTACACCTGTCCCTTTCATAGCTATTCGATCTGAAAAAAATGCATGAATTGAGCAGGTGTAAACAGCCTCAATATGTAGAGAAAGCTATAAAAAGTTCTAGACTCATTTTGTCCCAGCTGACGAAAGACGATTGTAAAAGCTGTTCAAAAACAAAACACACAAAAACTTCAGCTTTAAATGATGAAACATTTTTTGCTTATCATTATACAAGCTTCATACATAAAGCCGATGGGAAACAGAGATGAAACCACAAAACGAAATCCCAAGATGCATAATTTGTCCAAACGGTATCTGTAATACATCAAATAAAACTGACTGCTCTCCAAACCATGCATGGAAAATTGTGTCTCTGGGCATCCTGTTTATTGGATTGTGGCATGCCAATAAACGTTTTGTTCTGTCACAATAACACGCTGTCCAATAGGAGGTCACTTTTACTTTCAACTCCAGCTTCCTTCAGTAGTTTTCACTTAGGATGAGGTTTTGTGAAATGCGCAGAGAGATGGAATTTGAAACAGCTTCTTCTCTACATGTACTGACAGCTACATCTCTGCGTTTTATTGTAGTCTAGATGGCCTGAAAGTCACTCTGCCTGAACACAGAGTTGTTAAACATTTTAAAAGTAAAATCTAAGGCTTTTAAAGACCTGTTTAATATATAAAGAAATAGAAATAAATACTAAACATAACAATTCTTCGATATTTTCAAAGGTTTTGTTTTGATGTGCTTTTTTGTCATTACAATGCTTGTTGTGGAAAGCTCACTCACAAACATGCATATTTAATAATATTCATAAATTCATATCATTCAAATTGTAAGTGTGTTGTAGGACTGCACAATACTGGAAATATCTTACATTGCGATATCTTTTTATTTTGCAATATATATAATATCACCATATGACTTAATATCTATATTTGGAAAGAATTTTGGGATGATCAGCTGAGATGATTCTGCAGTGGCAGTGCATCTCCATTAAATCTAACAAACAATCTATACAGTTTTTGGGGTCCCCTGTGCTATTTGCAGTGCATTTCTGTATTTGCATGTGTTGTGATTATTTACATGCATGACAATCTATAAATACAATCAAGAAAAAGATGCAGTGTTTTATTATTTCCAGAGTCTTACAGTATTCAAGTACAGTAACTGAATGATAAAAATAGAAATAATTCAATAAAATTAATCGTAGTCAAGATCACAAATGGTACAATTTCTTATACCTGAATGCTTTTAAAATCATTATACGATCAAAAACGCATGCAGATGATGAATTAGAATACAAACTCAACATTGCATATTCTGCGATGTAACTATTGTGAATGATCACATTGTGATACTGAGGCTGAAACGATATATTGTGTGGCCCTAGTGCGTTAAGGTCATGGCAATAATTTAAATGTACTTCTTTATAAAGGTTAAACTGATTTAAGGAGCATTTTTACTTTTATAATTATAGGTATTTTATATACTTGTTACATGCACTTTTATGGTTGTTGTATATAGAGGGTTTTTTCAAATGACAATTCCAATAGCCTCTTTCACACATCCATGCCTTTCTGAAAAATTCTGGAAAGGGATCATATGTAAACAGGCCCTTTTTGAAAATACCGGTAAATTCGTTCTGGCAATTTTCTATTACTGGTAATTTGCCCGAATGCTGCTCTGTGTGAAAGCAAAAGGAAAACTGCTTGAAAAAGCGTGTTCACCTTTAGAACGTGCTGACGCGAGACCTCTACTCCAGCCAATCAGAACATTCACATCCTCGCTGTTTATGAAAATAAAAGCCTTTGAATATTTGGTAACACTTTACAATAAGGTTCATTAGTTAATGCATTAACTAACATGAACTAATCATGAACAACACATGTACAGCATTTATTAATCATATTTGAACATTTACTAATGCATTATTAACATTCAAATCCATGCTTGTTAACATTAGTTAATGCACCATGAGTTAACATGAACTAACAATGAACAACTGTATTTTCATTAACTAACGTTTATTAACATGAATAAATACTGTAGTAAATGTAATGTTCAATGTTTGTTCATGTTAGTAAATGCATTAATTAACAGTAACTAAAGAACCTTATTGTAAAGTGTGACCGAATATTTTTCCAGACATATTTAGCTGCTAGATGTTAGTCAGATAATGTTTCTATGCTTATCCTTAATGCCAACTGTGTAAATAACTATCGATAAAATGCTTATGGTAAACTGCTGTTTGTTTACCTTCAAGCTCTGCTTCAGTTGCTTGACGCGTGCTCCAGTGAGAGCCAGCACACACACAGTGCCACCGTATGTTTTTATTGAAGTTGTTCACAATTCTTATCCATCTACAGAATTTGTAATGTAGTCAAGTGTGCAAACATTTAGCTGCTGTTCGCACTTCTGCCTTTGGATGTCTCTGGAACAAAGATTTTCCGGATATTTATCGGTATCACTGTGTAAAAGGGGCTAAAGAGTGCCCAAAAACAATCTGTGTAATACCACAGTAAAAATGCACAGTAAAAATAAACTGTAACTAAAATAAAGATGACCAAAGTTTTTCAAGAAACTCTTATTTTCTATTATTGTAGTCTTTCGACTTAAAACTAAATTGTAGATAACTCAAATTTTACTTGCAGTGTGGTGTAATTATTTGAGAAAATTACAACCAATTTCTTTATAAAACTTCAAAGTAATTATCCACTAAAAAAAAGATACAAATTGATTAGGTTAACAGTTTTTACTAATTTAAGTGGATTGAAAATAAAACAATTATGTTTTACCCAAAAAGACTCTTAAGAATTATGCTGTTTCAACTCATTTTAAATAAGTAATTTAAACAAGAAGTAAAAGTTATTTGAGTTTATTGCATGTATGCATTTTCAGTGTAGAATATGACAGTCAATCTAACCTAATTCACCTAATTTAACATAATACACTCCTGAATAAAACATTCATGAGGAAAAACAAGGTCAAAAACATTTTACATGATGAATGTTTGGAGAAACATAAACAAATATATAGCTCAAAGTAAGATAATGAATGTGTTTATATACCAGGTACATTTTAATTTATGGTGCCTTTGAATTCTAGGATTTCAAATGAATGTTTGAACACGAACACACACACACACACACACTCACTCATATGCTTGGTCTACAGCTCCTCTCTGGTGTCTGTGAGCCAGTGTGGTCTCTGGTCAGGCTCTGAAAGCCAGCGCTGGTAAACGGCCACAGGCTTGATGTTCCAGTGTTTGTGGAAGGAGATTGGACTCTGCCGTGCCAGAAGCTCTTTCACATAATCATCTGGACGGGCCTGTGGTCAGAAAAGAGCCTGTGTGATTATATCAGCGGTTTCACACAGCTCAAAATACAGATGGGACCACATTTACCAAAGACACGTGTGATCTTGTCCTAATTGTGAAAGTGTGAACATTATTCACATCTCCCAAATGTTTTTCCAAGCCATTTACAGAATGAGGTGCATGCAAAACATTACACTACCTGCAATCATGAACTAAATTTTAAAAATTGCCTCTTGTTGTCTGAAATTTATAACACTTCTTTTCTGAGTGTAATACGAAAGGCAACCCAGGCTCATTGGAAATATGTGCCAAAGTAACATTGATTGCTCTGGTTTCATTTTGTTGTAGCTTCTGATGACAAATCCATCAGAGGGCGCTGTTTACATTTATGAAAATCTAAAATGTGTTTTTTAGGCCAGTGTTTCCCAACCCTGTTCCTGAAGGCACACCAACAGTACACATTTTCAACCTCTCCCTATTCAAACACACCTAAATCAACTTATCAGAACATTAGAAGAAACTCGAAAACCTGAAATTAATGATTCAGATAAGGGAGACATCCAAAATATGTATTGTTGATGTGCCTCTAGGAACAGGGTTGGGAAACACCGACTTGTTTATACGTCATTTATAAGTCCTTCTTGTACATCTCCATTAAAAAAGGTAGCGCTTGTCTTGCATATCCCCTTATGATCAACTCACCTGAATTCTTTCGCTAAACCCAATGAATTTCAAATACTACATTACAGCCACATAGTATTACCATGATTTTACACTGCTTTTACATGCATCACTGGACTCGAACCTGAGCACTCTGCACAAAATCGTAAAACTGAGCTTTTGAGTTACCATGCCAGAAAAGTTGGCTATATAGAGACAGACAGGTGGCGGCATAGTGGCTCAGTGGTTAGCACTTTTGCCTCAAAGCAAAAAGGTAGCTGGTTCAAATCCTGACTAGGCCAGTTGGCATTTTTGTGAGGAGTTATTAGCATGTTCACCCCATGTTCACGTTGGTTTCCTCCAGGTGCCCCAGTTTTCCCCACAGTCTAAAGACATGCGCTATAGGTCAATTTTATGAACTAAATTGTTTGTAGTGCATGTATGTATGTATGTGTGTGTGTGTGTGTGTGTCACATGTTCTGAGTACTATCATTAGAGATTTTCCAAACACTCCTGATATTGTTGTTGTGAATGAAGTATTGAAAAACATTCTGATTATGGAAGTAGGCTGCTGTTTTGACTCATACATGTATCTGTGCTATTCAGAAAAAATGCTGAAATATCAACCATTAACGAATGCCCTAAAAGTGTGTGGCTACAACACAAAGTTGGTGGTTTTAATTTACGGTAGCCTAGGGCACGTTCATAAACTGTGTGTGAGGGGACTACAAATTGCCGGACTCAGTAAAAAAAGACTCTAAACAAATTGCAAAGTATTGTTCTGTATCTGCAATAATAGGCAGTCTTCATGTGTGGAGAAGACGATGCCATCTCTATCCTTAATCTATTTACTTAATACTACGCGCAGAATGGATTGAGTGTTTAATAGGGATGTAACGGTATTGTAAATACTGTCATACCGCAATATTAATTTTTTTCGATATTACCGAAGTCGCATGACTCGGTAAAACTATAGGTCTTCTGAGAAAATTTGCTCAGGCGAATGAAGCGAACGGGAGGTAGCTGAAACTACATTTCCCATCAGCCTAGGCGTGGCCAAAATCCTTTGCGGTCTGTTGTCGCTACAGATCCAGTAATGCGGAAATGGAGTGTGCTGCTAGTAGCGGAGATGAAAAAAGATGGAAATGATCGAACCTAAAGTGGGTGTTGTCGCCGCGCGCGTACTGAATAGCGGTGTTGTCGCGCGCGTTGTGATCAGCTGTGTAGTCGCGCGCGTATTGTAAAGCGCCGAGGGGGGGTTGAGCGCGCATACTCAAGATCGTTGTTGTCGCGCACCTACTGAAGGGCTGGACGGAGGTTGTGTCGCGTCGCGGGGGCACTTTTGATCGTTTTGGAAGGGCATTTTCTATCCAAGACTGAAAAGGGCATGTGCACTGCACAGGTTGAGCCCTATGTGTGCACGTGCCTGCAAGTTGGGGAATACGACTAATAGCAGTCATGGGGACTGCAGAAACACAGCACACTGTTCAGATTGATGCAGACATTGACTTGTACCGCAAAGAGACCTCTATTTCACTCATGGTTTGTCTTCTCAAGTGGGGGAAAGACAATGCACAACGTTACCCACTGCTGTCAACATGGACCAAGTCATATCTCTGTCCCAGAAACCTCAGTCCCAAATGAGAGGGTTTTTTTCTGTTGCAGGGGACATTGTAAATACCCAGAGATACCAGCTTTTACCAGATTATAGTTATATGATAACTTTCCTTTAAACCCATCTCTATCTAAGTAAGTGAGTGAGTGATTAAATGTTGAATGTGATGAGTTTTCAACAATACTAAATTGAAACTTTATTTTTTTTACATGGTTTAATAATTTTTTGTTATTAAAATTGAAGTTAGTGTTTCAAAGCTTACAGATAGATGGCTAATTTGTATGCCATTGACACTTTTGGAACTTTTTTGGAGTATTTTCATAAGTTTTGTTTTTCCTGTAAATGATTCAATAAATACCGTACCGTGACATTCATACCGAGGTATTACCGTACCGTGAAATTCTGATACCGTTACATCCCTAGTGTTTAATAGTGCCATGCAAAAGATCATCAATGATTGTATGCTGCTAGTACTGTGAAACATCATGGGTTCCTTACGATTATTTGGATGCTGTGTTGCTTTAATTAGTATTAGTCATTCCAAATAAAATGAATCAAATGTGTGTGTTTGTGTGTGTGTGTGTGTGAGTGTGTGAGTGAATGGGTGTTTCCCAGTACTGGGTTTTGTCTTGAAGGGCATCCTGTGTAAAACATGTCGGAATAGCTGGCAGTTCATTTTCACGGTCGCAACCTTTGATAATTAGGGACTAAGCCAAAGGAAAATGAATGAATGAGACAGACAGGTGATTCAATTACAAATCATACACACTTTTAAGTTGTTCTGTGGTATTTATTTGGTGTTGTGCAAAAGACAGCACAAAAAAAATCCTTTATTTTTCGATAAAATGTCCTTGTAAGTATAATTAGTGTGAAAAGGAACAACAGTTGTTGCCGTAATATTGCCCCAAAGTCTTCATTTTACCAATAAACTGCAGTTAAACTCAGGTTGAAGTACGTTTGTTTTGCGGTTTCACAAAAATGTAGGCTGAAGCACGAATTTCCTATGAGCCTGTGTTGACAAAAGGAGCAACTGGCAGAAAAAGCTGCTTTTTCCACATAGTGATTGACGGCTACACTGCTATTCAAACACTTGGGGTCAGTAAAAATGAGTGTTTTTGAAGGAATGACAGTTAAGACATTTCTAATGTTACAAAAATATATACCCTCACCGGCCACTTTATTCCAACTGCTCGTTAGCACAAATTTCTAATTAGCCAATCAATCCATTTAGGCATGTAGACATGGTCAAGACAATCTGCTACAGTTCAAACCGAGCACCAGAACAGGGAAGAAAGGTGATTTAAGTGACTTTGAATGTGGCATGGTTGTTGATGCCAGACGGGCTGGTCTGAGTATTTCAGAAACTGCTGATTTACTGGGATTTTCATGCACAACCATCTCTAGGGTTTACAGAAAATAGTCAGAAAAAGAGAAAATATCCAGGGAGTGACAGTTCTGTGGGCGCTAATGCCTTGTTGATGCCAGAGGAGAATGGCCAGACTGGTTCCAGATAATAGAAAGGCAACAAGTAACTCAAATAACCACTCGTTACAACCGAGGTATGCAGAAGAGCATCTCTGAACAAACAACACATCCAACCTTGAGGCTGATGGGCTACAGCAGCAGAAGACCACACCAGGTGCCGCTCCTGTCAGCTAAGAACAGGAAACTGAGACTATAATTGGCACAGGCTCACCAAAATTGGACATTACAAGATTGGAAAAGCGTTACCTGCTCTGATGAGTCTCGATTTTTGCTGCGACATTCAGATGGTGGGGTCAGAATTTGGCATCAACAACATGAGAGCAAGGATCCATCATACCTTGTACCGATTGATCATCATATCAACGCCACAGCCTACCTGAGTATTGTTGTTGACCATGTCCATCCGTTTATGAGCACAGCGAAAAGCGAAAGTGGGTCTAACCCGGTAGTGGTTGTACCTAATAAAGTGGCGGGTAAGTGTATTTCAAATAAACACAGCAACAATAAATTCCATAATTAAATATTTAATCATTATGCTTTTGCATTCAACATAATTATTCCAATAAATACAGTTTTCCAATAAAAAAAGAAAATATGCGAGATACACATGAAGGCTCTGTGCTTTTACCCCTTATCTTGAATTTGCAAGGATAATTTGTTTGTTTTAACTTCTTTAACTTTATTCTCCTATCTATATTTTTCTTTTGTTTTAATTTCTTCAATTTTTAAATATTGTGTATATTTAAAAAAATTGCTTTCTTATTCACCACAAACCTTTGAAGGAGATTGTAGGTCTGGCAGTGCATACTGTTATTATTAAGTCAGTTATAAGTTTGAGTAAATACTTACATTTCAGTTAGTTTTTCATTTAATCATCAATCAGCTTCAAAAGACTTTAAATTTGTAAGGACATTTTCATAATGCTTTCCATGGTGCTTTCTATGGTGAAGTTTATGATTTGAAACAGCATGAGCAACTGATTACTCATTTCTTTAATAAGGGTGTAAACTATTCCTCAGATTTACGATTAAATCATGCATAGATGTTATTAGTGATGCTCCAAAAATGAAAACCGTCATCATTTACTCTCCCTTTATGAGTTTCTTCTGTTGAACACAAAAGAAGATATTTTGAAGAATGCTGATCTTCAAACCCATCAATTTCCATAGTAGGAAAAAAATTACTATGGAAGTCAATGGGTCCAAGCAAGCGCCATTCTTCAAATTATTTTCTCAAATAGGTTTTGAACAAATGAATGGTGAGCAACTGTTCATTTTTGGAGTGAACTATCCCTTTAAATGCAAATGGAGGCAGTATCAGGAGACAGATGAACCTGTAGCTCCCAGCACCCTCAATTCTGTTGTGAAATATACACAAGATTGCTCTCCGCATTTGTACCAACAGGTTTCTGTTTATTTGTTGCTTTGCCTGGGTGCCAAAATATAGCAAACATGAAAAACCAGTCTCCGCCTCATTACTTGTGTTTTGGCTGCTGTAGAGCGGAACAGAAAAAGACAACATGTACTTTGAGGGTGTGTTTGTGCGTCTGTGTGTGTTACCTGATGGAAAAGTGGGCTGTGTGTGACTGGGAGCCCCAATGTGGTCAGACACATCCCTAACACCATATCATCAGGGGCGTCTGAACTGCGGCAGCTGCAACCACCTGCCAGAATATTCTGAACAGCGACTCTACTGAACACCATCCTGTAGGAGTTTAGAAATAATAGAATAGTTACCCAATGGAGCACGTTCTACAGCATTCGGCTCACACACACAGTCGCAGACAAATAATCGACTAGCGTAAAGATTCAGGACAGCTAACAATGGTACAAAGTCCAGTTTAAAGTGAGAGTGGGAGATTCCAGCTTGTGTATATTTTATAGTTGTCCATAATTGAACTTTAATGTCCCCAAACATGAAAGATTGCTGTTAATGTTATGTTTGCTGAAAGATAAACACCTGTGTTCTTGGAATATCAGTGGATAGAGAGGATAACCTCTTGCCTTGCCTTTGAAAAGATAACCTATTTTTAGAAAAACTAAATTCATATATTTTGGTCTATTTGGAAAGTATGACATTTTGGAGAGTCTAGATCAGAGATGCCCAAACTAGGGCCTGCGGGCAAAGATTGGCCATGGTAACCTTTGATTTGGCCAGCCGTTCCCATCTGAGAAGATAGAGTGAATGGTGGGGATGGTTTCAAGTTTAATTTAACCCTTTGTTTGTTTGTTTTATTGTTAAAAGCTAACTGAAATTCATTTATTTATTCATTCATTTTCTTGTCGGCTTAGTCCCTTTATTAATCTGGAGTCACCACAGTGGAATGAACCGCCAACTTATCCAGCAAGTTTTTACGCAGCGGATGCCCCTTCAGCCACAACCCATATCTGGGAAACATCCACACACACACACACATTCACACACACTCTCATACACTACGGACAATTTAGCCTACCCAATTCACCTGTACCGCATGTCTTTGGACTGTGGGGGAAACCGGAGCACCCAGAGGAAACCCACGCGAAGGCAGGGAGAACATGCAAACTCCACACAGAAACACCAACTGAGCCGAGGTTCGAACCAGCGACCCAGCGACCTTCTTGCTGTGAGGCGACAGCACTACCTACTGCGCCACTGCCTCGCCCGCTAACTGAAATTAAATGTTTAAATTAAATTATTTAAATGAATCAGATTTTGTTTAAATGTACACATTGTCACCCGACAATGCAGAGACTTTGGTGAGCAAATCAAGTCAAGGTGGATTCTGCTTGACTAGTGTATTCAGCATTGAACTTCCCTGTGTTATAAATGTGATTGTTTGTTTTTATTGCATTAAGTTATTTATAATTTAAAAAGTTAAACTGCATTCATTAATACGATTTAAAATACTATTTTCTACCTGTTTTGAAATACTATGAAATAAATTAGGAAATCAGTCATGACAACTTGAATGTACTGTAGTTTGGTATATTTATGGCTCTCGACGATATATGGATATTGGCTCTTCATACAAAAAAGTCTGGGCACCCTTTGTCTAGATGGTGACTCTTTTGTTAAACTGATAGATATAGGAAGTATATACATTTGACAAATATGTTATTCCTGTATTATTTAATGTTATAATAATTTTTTATTTATTTATAAGTGTTTGGTGAGTAAAATGATTTTGACCCTTCATTAATGCATATTTGTGCATTAAACTTTAAAGTTATTTAGAGTTTTGATATTATTCTTGTTGTTTTTTGCTTTATTTTGTTAAACTGAAACTGTAGCGTCCTGGTTAAAAGTCTTCCACTGATGTTCACGATTGATTTATTGGTCACACTTCATAGAATTTGTTCGCATTATTCAATCATGAATCACCATAAGAACTATAGAGAAAACAAACAACAAACACAAATAAATCCCGAAAATTAACACTAAGCCAACATCGACAAATAAACATTTAACAAATAAAAAAAAAATACCTTATTTTTCCCTCAAACCAGGAGCTATACCTCATGAAGGAGGAATCCGTGAAACAACCGTATACCTGTGCCCCTTTTACTGTGTTTCACCTAGCGTTCCATACTTTGTTATCATTCATTACTACACGCAATTTATACATCCGGTAAGCTCCGCAATTTTGACGTCATAATTAAAGTCCCCAAACAACTTAATTCATTCAACAAATCAACCTGTATACAAAATACAACACAACATAAAAAAATAAATAAATGCTAAATCATAAAGAAAGTAACACATTATTTCAAGTTTCTTTACACTCCCACCAAATCATACAATACATATAAACCATGAATGATTTCTACACATAAACATTCTAGCACTCACAGAATTTGTATGACAATGTTTGAAATAAAGACACCATCTGAAAATGTGAAAGTCAAAACACCATTTTCGTCTTACAAAGTACCTATATTTCAATGAGTAGTTAGCAGAGTTGGGTTTGACGCTTTCCACAGTAACACATTGCTGTATTCTAATTACATGTTTGAGGAACGCAGTAATGAAACAAATTACATTTAAAATTTGTGTAAATTGACTGCAGTTACTAAAGTCAGTGTAATGGGCTCTATGCACAGCTAGAGTTTTAAAGCCAATGATTACCTTGCAGGGATAGCTTAATGTGACTTTTTTCTATTTCACAAGCTTGTTTTTACAGTATCGATGTTGTAATATAATTACAGTGTATTCAGGTAAATAGACTTAACCATTCATTTAGTTGTTCAAGCATAAAATGAGATGAGAGACTGTCAGGAGCAACAGTCAAGCGCAGAATTTCCATTAAAATACTGGAATGAAATAAATTGTCATATTTTAAAGACATGGCGGGAGGAAATGGAATTTAATGCAGTGTTTCTTGTCCAATCTGAGACCCACTACATATCATATATCTATAACAGGTGAGAATAACCTAAACAGGCTAAATTGAATTTTTGTGCAGCATCGGGAGTGAGGGTATCTTCTGAACAAGAAGAGAAGTGTAGCTGCTAATGGGGCCGTTCACATATCGCATCTTTTGCGCACACAAGTTCGTTTTTCCAAGGCGTACACTCGCTTTTTCCAGGTGCACCAGTTAAAAACTGCAAGTCACGCAACAAGAACTGAGCAATCAGCTTTATGCTTTGCATGGAATATACACATTTTGGTAGGCTAATTACCTCAGGCAAACACCAAACAACCAAACACTGCAGCGCTTTTGCATACTATGCATGTCAATGGTTATCCAGTTTTCTACATGTCTTTTTTTGTGTTTAAAAAAAAAGACAAACAGGTTTGAAAAAAGTGAATGATGAGAGAATTTAAAGTTTTGGGCAAACTCCTAAAGTCTTGACTGAGTCAAGCTGCTGCTATCAACCCATTGTAATGTTTTTCAGTGAATATTAAATTACTGAAAGAGCAGAAGTTTATTTTGTATTTTTTATAGGTATATTTTATAAATTTTAAAAGTAACTTCAAAGTAAGATAATTAGTAATCTAATAACTTTTTTACATTATGTAATTAGCAATGTAATCGGATTACAATTTCCCAGCAGTAGTCAGTAATTTGTAATCTATTACTTTTTAAAGTAACTTACCCAACACTTGTAATGTGTGCTAACTAGAAAGCTATAGAAACTCCCCATGACCTACAGCCATGTGAAAAAGTTAGCACACCCTATGAATTGCAAGATTTTCTGTATATGGCCATAACAAAGAAATATAGAGTAGTTGACATTTGAATTGGTACAAAATTTTCATCAAAGTTGTCCTCGAACTATTAAACAACTCCCGTTTTGCCCTAGGACAATTTTGAAAAACATGTTTGAACCACTTGTTGACTACTGGATATGGTACTTGGCAGGTTTTAGAAATCTGAAGATTAAAACCGCAGATAAATACCATCATATGACATCACCAGTCTTGTCATTATTTATTTATTTAACAACAATAAAGCCAAGATAGAAAAGCCACGGGTGACAAACATAGTAAACCCTCTGAGTCAGAGGCTTGCGGTTCACCACTTTAAGCAGTAATTACTCAAAGTAACAATTTTCTGTGTGACCTTCTCAGCCTCTCAGATCATTCTGGAGGAGTTTTGAAGTTATTTGCACAGCTCTCATCAACAGCATTTCAGCCATGATGAGATCTGGACTATTGCAACTGTTGATTAGTATATCTTTCTTCAGCTGCTCTGTTGTAGATTTGCTGCTTTGCTTTGGGATCATTGTCTTGTTGCATGACACAATTTTGGCCAAGCTTTAGCTGTCGCATGGTCAAGAAGGATAGCAGTGAGCATTTACTTCCAAATCTACAATCCACCACATGTGGGGTATGTATGTTCAGTAATATCAGTTTTATGGCAAAGAAAAAGCCTTTTCCTGGTCTTTTTTTATAATTTTTTTTCGGGGTTTTCACCTTTATTTTTGATAGGAAAGTAGAGAGAATTGACAGGAAAGAATTGGGAGCAGAGAGAGGGGAAGGATCGGCATAGGATTGCAAGGCAGAATTGAACTCGGGTCACCGTGAGCACTGGAGTGCATATGTCAACGTACTAACCACTTCACCACTAGCACCGACCTTTTCCTGGTCCTTAAAATAAAATATCTCAACACAAACAAAGGAGGCTAAGAAAAGGCTTAGAAAAATATTTTTTATAGAAATTCCAAAGGATAGAGGTAGAGGTTTTTGCATCTGAACTCTTCACATGTTCACATTAACATCTATGTTGATTCTGGAACAACATTCCAATCAGCCAATCAGAATGAATGGATTTGTTTACCACTTATATTTAGTTTAGGCTTACAGTTTTATACTGATTTATACTTCTACATGATTGTTATCTAGCTACTATTGTCCTCTGATGTTGGAACCCAGGCTCTTTCTGAAAACGTAGTCCCGTGGATGTTTTTGGAGACCGTGCAATACATCACGGGAGGTATGTATTTCTGCAGTTGTTGTTTTCGCGAATCCATGAGAGGCCGCTGTGTGTGCTTTTTCGTATATATCAAATGTTTCTCTCAAGTGCCGTTCACGCCCATGCTGTTCTCGTGTAAACCCACCAAAGGCCGCTGACGAACCACCATCTGTCTGACTGACTAAATGATTGACTGGGTGACCGGCCTATTGGCTGACCCACCCTCCTCCTTCCCTAAACCCAACCAGTTTTACAGCTTGACCTGCCCACCTGCTTACTTCCCTAAACCCAACCAACTATTTACAATAGCCGTTCAGAAAAGGAAAAGCCCTTGTCTGATTTTTACCACGTTTTCGTATTTTACCACATTCTCACCCTGTTATAAACTTGCTCACTTTATTTTTTGGATTCTGTTTTTGTCTTACCTGATTTCTGGAACCGCTCTTCCCCCAACTCAAACCCGGTCGTCGTGGTGGTGGTCAGCTCCTCTCTGCGTCTCAAGTCTGCTGACGTACATGACGAGCTAACTGGACAAACTGGTTGTGGTGGGAAAGCCCTCCACACGGAGATAAGCGGTCATCCGGTAAGCTCGAAAAGGAACACCGTGATACCACCCCATAGCGTTCGCTTAAAAATTGAAATGCAGACATACGTACCTCCAGCTAAATAATTCGCTGTCTCCAGAAACGTCCACAGGACTACATTTTGAGAATGAGCCTGGGTTGCATTTTGGGAATAATTTACAGTTATTGTTGGGTTTAGGGGTAGGGAATAAGTATTGATTACATTTTTTAACAAAAAGTATGCTCCAGGATCAGCATAGATGTTAAACCAGGATTGCATCATACTTGACAAAATCATGACGTGCATCCACCACACCTGCTGATAAAGTGGAGTCAAAACAGTCAAAAATAGCCTATTAATCTGGAAATGGCCTTTTTTATGTGAAAATGCTGATAACATTTGAAGTGGATTTCAAAAAAGAGCAAAGAAATAGGAAAAAGGCAGTTCCTGACTCCTACTGTATAAGCAATTATGAGCAATTGCAATATCTGAGCACATCATATTCATAGCTTACCCTCCACCTCCTGTGATGTAGCTGTAGCCATCCCTGCTAAGCCCATAGCCGTAACGTTCTCCAACACTCACAGCTTCAGTTGGATCATAACAGCTCAGAAGCCTCCGCAGTCTGGGCAGACTGCAAAACAATGGTTAGACAGAATTTTGTGAGAGAAATATGCATGACATTTATGCCAAACAGGCATCATCTGAATACTTCATAAACTGACAGCAGTAAATAGTAGGAGACATTTGCTGTGCTAATACAGACAAGCTTTCTGATCATATGAACAAAATCCAATAATATATCTTTTGCATTGTCCTCAGACATGTTTCCCACTCTCCTTGTCGTGTCCAGCAAAACAATATAATCATATCTATGAGCAATATCACACGAGTAGCAGTGCGATATGGCTGTATATCAGCACTGGTGGGAGGTTTGCGTTGGCACAAGGCTTCAGGCTGAGTGCCTTAGTACCCCACTAGAGACAATATACAGCCACATTGCACTGCTACGAGTGTGATATTGCGTTTATACAACAGTTCGACAGCTTAATCGTGTATATAAAAAAGAAAATCAATCACAAAGAGTCTACAAACCCTTTTGTAAGATGAACTACTTTCTTCCGCCATTCATTCACATCTGCAGAAACCTTTGCTACTTCACATCCGTCACTTTAGAGCTAGTATTTGAGTGATTCTCCTGAATAATGACTAAAGTGATGACAAAACAGGTGATTTTGCTGACATTTTAAAACTATAAGGCTGAACAGCATGAAATGCCAGCAGTCTACAGAGATTTCCCAGATTACTCATCTGCAATCGGGAGATCACAATATATAACCCCGAAAAAGCCAAAGCAGCCCAAATAATACCAAATTACTGTAGTGTTTGCGATAAGGAAAATGCGGGCATTTCTTCCTTCTTTCATTTTACTGAACTAGTCTGCAGTAAAGAAAACAAGAGACTCTTTAGAAACAGATGACCAGCCAAAAAGTAACTCAAGGTTATACAAAGAGTAGCCAACACAAAATACATACATTCCTGAGTCTCATCTCACACTCACCAAACTACAATTACTGTGGTATAAATACAGCACTACAACATACAAAAGAGAAAGCTTGACTTAGAAAGTCACTTAAGAGTTTTATAATGATTTGTTCAGGTGTAGTTTAAAATTACGCTAGATTTTTTCTCCTCTAAGGGCTTATTTCGCGGTGTCTGACGCCCTCTTGTGGATGGCACTGTACCTCAGAAATTATAAATATTTTAAAAAGGCACTATCCTTATAAATAAACTGCATAGTTGCAATCTAAACAACTACATTCTAAAAAAGCCTCAAAACTACATTAAGTTTTTCAACAGCTGCAATATTTGTCAAACTATAGTGAGTTTATTGATCTGCTGTCACTCTATGTGGGAAAAGTAATACAGAAGGGTGAAGAGGCAGTACGAGTTCTGATATTGCAGAATATCGCACTGATATCAGCCAGTCAGATTCGAGAACCAGACAGAAATGTTGTATAAATTTTATTATATAATATAAAAAAAACATACTCACGTTTATACATCAAGCCAGCAACCATTATTTTATTTTGTCAATAATTTTCTATAAATAAAAATGTCATGCTTTAAAGAAGTGAACAACCCACAAATCCAAATCATCCAAAGAATTGTTATGTTGTTGGCTATTAATCAAGACAAATGGAGCCAAGAACACTTCCCAAAGACACTGTAATCTGAAAGGCATCTACGCTCATGTTAGGGCTTATTAACACTGAATAAGTCTTTGCTTCTAAAAACGCAAGACGCTGAGCTCAGGAATGGGTTTAAAAATAGTGTGAGGCCCACATGATGCGATCTTATGAGCATGATGTAATAACGGACGCATTAGAAAGGGAAACAATATGCCACTGATAAGCACTTCAGTATATATCCATATCACCCTGCCACAGCCATATCACCTTGTAGCCCAAGACCGGTTACTCACTAGATAAGCAGGGTTGAGCTGGGTCAGTACCTGGATGGTAGACCACATGGGAAGACTCGTTTGCTGTTGGAAGTTGTGTTAGTGAGGCCAGCAGGGGGAGCTCAACCTGGGGTATGTGTGAGTCCTAATGCCCTATTAAAGTTAAGGGGACGCTATACTGTCAGTGAGCGCCGTCTTTCGGATGAGATGTTAAACTGAGGTCCTGACTCAATGTGCCGTTATAAATCCCATGGCATGTCTCGTAAATATTGTCAGGTTTCCTGGCCAAATTCCCTATCAACCCTTATCTATCATGGCCTTCCAATCACCCCCATCCACCGAATTGGCTATATCACTATCTCTCCACTTCTGCAATAGCTGGTGTGTGGTGAGGGCACTGGCGCCGTGTTCTTTGGCTCCCGTCACATTATCCAAGTTGATGCTGCATACTGGTGGTAGTGTGGAGACTACCCGCCCCCCATCATAAATGTGAAGCGCTTTGGGTGTATGGCTATACACTATAAATGCTCTATATAAATACACACATTATATGACATTATATAACTCTGAATATCTGGACAAAGCCACAATAAGCACCTCCTCTGCCATGATATAACGGTAAATAAAACAGTTGTCGTGCCAACTTTCTACAATAAACAGAAGCTTGCAGGAGTGACACCGCTTCTGAGCTCTTCTGATTAGTCCACTGCTTTTGGACTAGACAATGATGAGCTGTGCTTTGTCTAAAAGGTGAAGATGTTTTGACTGAAGTTTATTATTATTATTATTTTATTTCATTGCACATTGCATGTGTCTTTTTCTTTGTCCCGCCTTCTAATTGTTTTTTTTGTTATCCCATAGGCTCCCAATCCGGTGTGATTTGTGCTCTGATTGGCTGCTGGTCTCGGAAACCTATATAAAAAGGAGCTTCCGGCTGGGTTTGGGGAGCTCATTTGTGCTGCAATGGTTGCTTGGAGTGGAGATCCTAGATTTCCCTTACCACTCTGTCCGACAACCAACATTCTATCTTGTTACCATTGTTCATACGTTCAACTTCTTTTGAGAGTTTGAGCTAGTAGAGGTGGCCTGCCTATTTATTTTATTACCTTTGACTATGTTAATGTTCAGGGATAAGTTTCCTGTATTTTTCTTTAAATATTTACAGGTAATTTAGTTCATTTACTTTGCAGATTCTTTTATTTGTTATTTTGGCCTGTGGCCACCCTGAAGAGATGCTCATTTAAAATTGCTATTTTTTTCTATAATAAATCAATTCAATTACTCTTAACTGAGTGTCCGAGTTTGGTTGTCAACCGAAGTGAATCTTTTGCATTAAGTTTTTGTTTTGTTTGGGAAAATCATCACCCCAACACATTACATTTAAAAAGGAATACAAATGTACAGCGTTGAAGAGAAAAAAAAAGCATCATGTGTGAATGCCTCGTTAGTCTGTTGATTTTCCTTATCGCGAGTTTCACATAATCTTGGATCCGGACTGTATCCAGAGCAGATGGTTATCATGGTCACTGATGAGTCGAGAGATCAAGACTGATTCCTGCAAAGACCCCAGTGCCCTCTGTTAGCTAGGCCCATTATATTTGGCCAGAGGGGAGCCTGGTTTCTTCTAAATTTGTTCTCCATTTCCATAAATTGGTGGAGTTTTGGTTGCTTGCCACTGCTGCCTCTGGCTTGCATGCTTGGGGCTGGCAAAGCTGTGCATCGGTGGAGCTGTCCTTCAGTGGATCTGTGATATTTGTATGAATCTGAACTAAATTCAGCTTGAACTCAACTATTCTCCTGCCTGCCTGATATGCTAGAATGTTATATAATCTGAAATATCGCTATGGCTTTTTCTTTCTTCCTCTCTTAAGCTGCTTTGACACAATCACAAAACTGCTTTTGACACATTGTAAAAAGCGCTATACAAATAAAGATGACTTGACAAGTTAAAGCTCACAACTTTGACATGATGTCTCGGTAAAAACATCAACTCTTATTGTTAAGACGTTAACAATGTAAAACTGTCAACCCTGTTGCCATCCTGAAGTGTTTATTTAAGCTGGGGGGGACAAATGCACACAACTGTGATATACACTGCAGATCCAAAACATTCTGACCAATTGCCTAATAAGCTGCTGGCCCTTTGCATGCTGCCAAAACTGATTCAGCAAGCAGCATGTGTCAAATTTATGTCTAGACCCAGGGTTTCCCACAGAGCATTGCCTAGAGCTTCACACTTACTCCAATGGTTTGTTATTGCCTGACAGTAAATTCTAGTAGCATAGAATCATCAGGTAAATGAAACACACTTACAGAGCAAGACCGTCCATATGATGTTAAACAAACCAGTAACCTTTCTCATCTGCTCCAAGGTCCAATTCTAGTGTTTGAATGCCAATTTTAGGCGCTGATGAACATGAGTCATCATAGGCAACACAGCAAAGTGTGATTAAAATTGTGTGACCTTCTTTTGGCTTGGCCCACACAGGATCGCCTTTGCTGCCCTTGTACATCGATGAGCTCTGGGCAGCCAACATCCTGTCACCGGTTTGTGATTCATCCCTCCTCCCACTGCCATCCCAAATTCTCGCCACTGCTGATTGGGAGTGACTGACAAGCCTCGCAGTTTCAGAGATGCTCTGACCCAGTCTGTCACCTTGCCATAATTGTGGCACTTGTCAAAGGGGCTGAACTAATTATCCCTGCCTACTAATATAGCATCTATCGTGTTGATTGTGAGAACTCACTGTTAGCTTACAATGACTATGATTACATGGACATCAGTAATCAGATTATTTGCCTTAATCTGAATAATACAATAATATGATTAAGCTAACACATGAGTTGCTTTTTGAACGTTCCTTTCATGATCCTGTTTTACATGTTATAGCACATAATTCGATGAACGCCATTGCGTCACCGTGCAATCCACATTTCCTCCGGAGTTTCATGTAATTTTAGGCCTTTCATTTTGAATTTTTTCAGCGACATAGTATTCAACTTATTCTCCGCCGACGAGCGGTGGCTGCCATTTGAATCTTTTTGGCTTGAGACTTGCGGTCTCATTCACTTCCATTCATTTTTTGACGTTAAAAACTGCTCATTATGCTGCTTGATGTTGCAATTTGATATTTTCTTATTATAGTATTCTACTTGGTCTGTATAGTCAT